CGTCTGTTCTCGGGCATTTGGGTTGTTTCTAGATTCTGGCTATGGTGAATAGTGCTGCAGTGAACATAGGCGTGCAGGTGGCCTTTCTGCCGTGTGCTCTTGGGGTCTGTTCTCAGAAGTGGTACTGCTGGGTATTACGGAAGCTCAATTTCTAGTTTCCTGAGGAATTGAGTTCCACATCGTTTGCCAAAAAGGTTGGCCCAGGGGGCCTTCCCACCACCCACAGTGAAGGAGAGTCCCTTTCTCCCCATATTCTCAGGGTTGTTTTTGTTCACTATCTAATGTGGGTTTTTTTTCCCCCTTTTCAGTAACTTTGTGTCTTGAAAACTCTTCACTGAAGCACTCCACACCCCATAGTGGTTTTGCCCAGGAAGGGGGAAAAAAAAAATCAATATACTGTGAGTCCTGGAGAGCCACCCATCCCTTCCCTGATCAAGTCCCATGGCTTGGGCACTTGGTACCTTTTTCCCACCCCAGTCATGGGATGAGAACCCTCATCGGACCACCTAGGGGGCCCCCGAAACCTGAGGACAGGCAGAGAACCCCGACGCTCTGGCCTGTCCCAGACCTCCAGCACCAGCCTGCCGTGGTGAGGCCCGAACAAAGGTTCACAGCCCAGTGCTCGGCGTGACTCGGCCCCAACACTCACTTCAATGCCCCAGGAATTTTCACTTCCATGGATCCAAACTCCAGCAGGACTTGGGATCGGAATTCCCTACGGACTACACACACACACACACACACACACACACACACACACACACACACACATCCCGCAGACTGACAATTCTATTTCAAAATGATTTTTGTTTTGTTTTGTTGTTGTTTTGTAAATGACCAATAGCACAAAACCCCAGAAGCACAGGGCCGGGGAGGAGGAGGAGGAGGAGGAGGAAAGAAGAAACCCGAACGGAAAAGCAGCCACATGGTTAAACATCACCTCGATTAACAACTCTCGTTATTCACGGCTGACGGCTCAGTTAATCAGTGCTCGCGGCCTGGATCCCGCGCCAGCGTTCCCGGGGAGCCGGACGCGATGGAGGAATCCGGGTCTTTAAGACAAACACGCCTCACACCCCGAGAGGCACGCCTGGAATCAGGCCGGGCCACTCAGCTGTGCCCGGCTGCCTGGGGTTTTCTCCTCCACTGGGCCCGCTGTGGCAGCCCCCCAGGAGCCCCCGTGGCCGGGGGCAGCCCCCTCCCGCCTCTCCCCCTCCACCCTCCAGCCCCGCCCGGCTGGCCAGAGGTAGCTCGCAGGATCGCGGGGATCAGTTTTCCTCTCCTCGGAGTCAGATGTGAGAACAGACGGGCGCCTGGAGGGCCCAGAAGCCCACCTCGCACTTCACAGGCACCCACACGGCCCCTGCATGCCTGGAGCCTAGGGAGGAAGTAGCTGGGGGTAGGTTGGGGGGGGGATCACTCTTTTGCAGAGGGAGGAGGGCTTGGGTGCTCAGGGCTGACTCCCAGGTCAGTGCTCAGGGATTACTCCCGGCTCTGTGCTCGGAGCTCACTCCCAGCTCTGTGCTCGGGGTTCACTCCTGGCTCTGTGCTCAGGGCTCACTCCCGGCTCTGTGCTTTGGACTCATTCCCAGTTCAGTGCTCAGGGCTGACTCCCAGCTCTGTGCTCAGGGCTCATTCCCGACTGTGCTCAGGGCTGACTCCCAGCTCTGTGCTCAGGGATTATTCCTGGCTCTGTGCTCGGGGCTCACTCCCGGCTCTGTGCTCAGGACTCACTCCTGGCCCTTTGCTCAGGACTCAACTCCCAGCTCTGTGCTCAGGGCTCATTCCCGACTCTGTGCTCAGGACTCACTCCCGGCTCTGTGCTCAGAGTCACTCCATGCTCTGTGCTCAGGACTCACTCCCGGCCCTGGGCTCAGGGCTCACTCTTCACTTTGTGCTCAGGGTCACTTTCATCTCTGTCCTTAGGGCCCACTCCCGACTCTGTGCTCAGGGCTGACTCCCAGTTTTGTGCTCAGGGCTCATTCCCGGCCGTAGCAGGAATCGCACCAGGGTCAGCGGTGTGCAAGGCGTGTGCCTTCCTCCCTGCTCTGTCTCCCCAGCTCCAAGGGGATCACTTCTCACGGGCGAGGGGGAACATGGACTTTAAATCCATCTGCCCCTCCCGTCCCTTACCGGCTGTCTCTCCTCCCGGTGAGACCGGCTGACACTCCACACACCGGTGACCAGCGCAGGGCGAAAGTCGCCAGGAATCCGGGAGGCACAGGAGAGTCCACCCGGGGGCCGGGAGCTCAGCCCAGTTCCCAGGAGACAGGGGGGCGGGATGGGGGGGGGGGACTCGCCCCTCCGCCTGCCGTTGCTCCTGCGACAGACGCCAGAGCCGGGTGGCAACTGGACCGCACATGGGGGCCGGCTGCGTCACGGGTCACCCGGCCGGCATGTGAACAGGAAGGTGAGCGCGCGGGGTGAACTTTTGCCTCAGTGGCCCATCCATCAGACGACAAATGGCCCAGAGCACCGCAGCGCAGCTGCCCGCCCGTGCGCGCACACACAGGGGCCTTTGTGTCCGGGGCCTGCGCCGGCCTGGCCAGGGGACCCGCCGGGCCGCGGCCGGGTGGCAGATCGCTGACCCATCCTCACGCCCTCCCTCACCGGCACCCCGGCTCCCCCACCCACGGGCACCTGTTCTTCATTTACCGCTCAATGCCCATTCATTAGGCCCGGTGGACATTCCAACGGAGCTCCTTCCCTCGGCCCCGGCCAGTCAGCGATTCAGGAATGACAAATAAATCTGCCGCTCTATCTCCTTCCCTGGCCATTCCCAGACCCCGGCCGGCTCGCGGCCCCAACCGGGGAGGAAATGCCGAGGGATTGACAGGGCGGAGGTCACAGCCGGGCTGATGGAGAGGCTGGGGCCTCCTCCCGGCTCCGGGGAAAGTGAGACCCCCCCAGTCCCGATTCCCAGATTCCTATTGGGGAGCAAGACCAGCACCCCGGCGGAAGGGTCCCCCTCCCCGCCACCGAGCGCTCAGAGTGGCCCCCAGCTCTCCGGTGATCCTTTTTCACCCCCTTTATTTTTCGCCAGGCCTGGCTCTTCCCCACGGAGCTGCGAGCACCGGCGGTTCAGGAACCCTCGCGGACTCCCCCTCGGGTTGGCCGGGCGGGGCCAGAACCTGAAAGACACACGGGAAATGTTGGTTTTTTTAGAATGGAAACCTGACTCGCACAGGTCACAGTGTCTACGCTAAGTCCCGATTGGGGTGTGTGTGTGGGGGGGGGGGATGAAGTTTGGAGGCCCCCGTGCTGGCCAGAAGCGTAATTTAATTTTTCCTGAAAATTTGGAGAACCTTTTTGAAGAACGCCCCAAGAGTCTGTATGTGCTCATGTCGCCCCTGTATGCTCTGCGCGCCTGTGCATGGGCACCGTGTCCCCCTGCGCTCCCATGCGTCGGCACCGTGCCCCCTGCGCGCGCATGAGTGGACACCGTGTCCCCTGCACACCCGTAAGGGGACACCGTGTCCCCTGTGTGTCGTGTGTCGGCATCGTGCTCCCTACGCGCCCATATCGCTACCGTGCCCCCTGCGCTCCCATGTGTCACCACCGTGTCCCCTGCGCCCCCCGCACGTCGGTACCATGTCCCCTGAGCACCCGTGCGTCGGCACCGTGTCCCCTGCGCGCCCATGTGTGGACACCGTGTCCCCTACACACCCGCGCGTCGGTACTGTGTCCCCTGCGCACCTGCACGTTGGCACCGTGTCCCCGCACGCCGTGTGCTGCAGTGTGCGTTTGGGTGCGCTCTTCTGCTGACACGCGCAGCAGTCGGAGGCAGCAGCCGGGTGGGCGCCGCCGAGCTGAGGCAAGAGAGCACTCGTGCCTGCACCCACGGGAATTTCAGCCCGATAAGCCGAATCCACTCCGGAGCCCAGACTCGGGGCTCCTCAGGGGCTCTGGAAGGCCAGGTCGGAGTTCCCAGATGGGAAGGGGGGGGACAGGGCACCCCAGGCCGCGGGAACGGCCCGCCCGGGGCTCAGATTCGAAGTGCAGACCCCAGGGATGCATCCAGGCTTGGCGCCCCCGGGAGCGTCTCCGGCAAAGGGTTCCGGGGTCCTTCACCGCCGCCTGCACTGGGCAGCTCAGTCTACAGAGGGACCGTCCCCACGAAGCAGACACGTGCCCAGTGTCTGCCTTGGCTAAAGCCCGCGGCTCTGTTGTTCAGCAGATAGAAGGAGGAGAGGATTCAGGGTGCCCCAAGGCCTCCGCGCCATCGCCCACGCAGATGGAACCATGGGGGTGGCAGAGGTGGAGCGGTGGATGCGGGGGCCACCGGCAACTTGGGGTGGGGGCTCGCCATCCCTCACCATTTCCTCCCACTCCCCCCCAACCCAGCCTCGTAGGAGACCCCAAATATGAAGCAGTCACAAGAAACGACTCTTTCCTTCCCCTCCTTTAAAGAAAAAAGAAAGAAGAATATACTTCCCTTATCTTTGAGGTCTTTCTCCTTCTTCCTCTTCCTCTCTCTCTCCCTCTCTCTTACCCCTCCCCATCATCCTCGCTCTATTTTTAAGGACTTCTATCTGCAAAAGGAGGAAAGTTAGATGATGCGTTTAAGACCCTTCCCTCCGTGTCCTTAGCGGGTCTTCGCCACTGACAGCCATCGGTATCTTATTTCCCCAAACTGCGGCTGCCCAGAAAATCACAGCCCGTCCCAGCCCCCCTTCTCCCGAGAGAACCCGGACATTGGTGCTTCTGACCCAGCCCGGAGCCAGGAACTGTGGCTGACGTGACTCGCTCCCTATCTCACTGTGTTCTAGGGTGGAAATGGGGCCACAGTTTGGGGGGTCTGCAGACCTCTGACAGCCGGCCCCCCTCTGCCGAGCCCGGCATACCCCTCAGCTGCCGGCGCCGGGGCCCGTCACTCCAGGGCCTCCCCGACAGAGGCCTCCCCCTGCCCCTTCTAGGTGTCCAGGGGAGACCCAGGCAGAGGCCTGGCACCCGAGCTGGGGGCGTGGCACCCGCATCTCACCCGCTCCTGTCCCCTACAGGCCATGTGGCTGATGCTGCAGAATGACGAGCCCGAGGACTTGGTCATCGCCACAGGGGAGGTCCACAGCGTCCGCGAGTTTGTGGAGAAGTCGTTTGCACACGTCGGGATGACCATCGTGTGAGTACCTCGGGGTGCCCCGCCCTTGCCCCCTGACCCTGAGAGCACTGTGCAGGGGGCCAGGGCTATCCAGGACCCGGGGGGGGGGGGTCTCGTGTCTCACTGCATCTGCCCAGGATGTCGCCACTGACCAACTCCATCTCTTGAAGTTGTTTGGTTTTTCTTGTTGTTGTTGTTGTTGGCTTTTGGATCACCCCTGGCGGTGCTCAGGGCAGTGCCGGGGATTGAACCCGGGTTAGCTGCATGTGAGGCAAACAGCTTGGCCCCGATCTTACCTCTCCAGTCCCTCTCCCCACACACTTAATTTCAACACCGTGGCTTACAAAGTTGTTTGTGATGATTCATCCCAGGCATCCACGATTCCAACCCCAATCCCGCCACCGCGGCCTCCTTCCCTCCACCAGGGTCCCCATTTTCCCAGCCACCCTCAAGCCGGCCCCCGGAGCAGGCCCATAATAATTTATTTTTTAGTGTTTGTTAACAACAAATGGTTAGGGCTGGAGCCATAGCACAGCGGGGAGGGCATTTGCCTTGCACGTGACCGACCAGGTTTGATCCCCGGCATCCCATAGGGTTCCCTGAGCACTGCCAGGAGTAATTCCTGAGCAGAGCCAGGAGTAACCCCTGTGCAATGCCGAGTGTGACCCAAAAAGCATATATATATATATATATATATATATACACATATATATATCACGATCATCCTGTTGTTCGTCGATTTCCTCGAGCAGGCACCAGTAACGTCTCCTTCTTCCTAGCCCTGAGATTTTAAAAGAGCCATTTCAATGCTCTTTCAGGATTAGGAGAATGAGACCCGTCATTGTTACTGATATTTGGCATATTGAGTGCGACACAGGAAGTTTGCCAGACTCTGCCATGCGGGCAGGATACTTTTGGTACCCTGCCAGGTTCTCCAAAGGAAAAAATAAGATGTCGCGTGGCCACAAATGCAGCCACGCGCTTCCGGGAGCTGGGTTTTATAGTCTCTGCGTGTTGGCCGTTGATGGGACCAACCTGGCGCTGGTGGCAGCTGGTGGGTGTGATGCCTACCTACTGGAAGATTGGGGGTCTGGGTGGAGAAGGCCCAGTCCCAATCCGAATAGGCTTGGAGACCTCAGCCCCGGGACCGCATATCTGGGTTCCTCTGCCAGTTCTTTCATGCATAATATATATATATTATGGGGCTGGAGAGATAGCACAGCGGAAGGGCGTTTGCCTTGCACATGGCCAACCCAGGTTCAATCCCCAGCATCCCATAATCCCATAGGGCTCCCCAAGCACCACCAGGGGTAATTCCTGAGTGCAGAGCCAGGAGTAACCTCTGTGCATCACCGGTTGTGACCCAAAAAAAGGCATATATATATATATATATATATATATATATATATATATACATATACACACACACACACACACACGCACGCACGCACACACGCACACGTATATATATAATGGAATAATCAAAACGTATTTCTGTAAAAGGAACTTTGAAAACCGTTGTATCTTGCATGGGGACAGTAAGTTCCAGTCTGAGGTTTACCGAGCTGTTGTTGCAAGCTTCTGCATTCATGCTCCTGTGGGCCGGGCTCGGTCAGCTTCTGCATTCCAGCCCGTTCTTTCTGCTGTGCCGCTCCTGGGATGATGCTTGTGTTGTAGAGTTTGAAGATGTCCCCAAAACCCAGAAGAATCCAGAACCTTTAACTGGGCGGTCTTGCCGTGGCTGGTGGGCTTTTAGAGGGGCGGGAGCTTCCTGAGCCCCTCCTGAGATGGCCCCAGGGGTCTTAGCCGGGAGCAGAGGGTCCGAGACATTTTTGCGGCTGGTCGATGTCTTCTGAGGTTTGTTCGGTCTCTGGCACAGTAAGGCACGGCCGCTGGGGAGGAATAGGGGGGGCTCGTCCCCACCCCCACTGAGAAGCCTTTCCAATCCCTGCTGCCCCCAAGTCTCACTCAGTCCCACTTTGGGATGGTTTTATTCTTGGGAGGGGAGTGGACGGCATCTACCTAGTGATGGCGAGGGGACGCCCACCTCTGTCCTCTGCCCAGGGGTTGTTTCTGGTGGTGCTTTGTACTGGGAATCAACCTTCCCGCCAACCCCCGCCCCCCAGGCAAAGCATGCACCCGGCTCTCTCTCCACCCTCCTCCGAGGTGGTCGTCTTGGCCAGAGCTCTGCCTCCTCCATTATAGCCAAACTGTCCTGGTATTTGTTGCACTGTGTAACTTCTCTTGCAACTGTGCAACATTTTGTGGTTTTGTCAAAGATCCCCCGTTCTAGAAGGAAGCTTCTTTTGCCCTTCAGTGGGAGGTCTGGGCCGTACCTGACACTGCTCAGGGCTCACTCCTGGCTCTGTGCTCAGGGTCATTCCTGGCTCTGTGCTCAGGGCTGACTCCCAGCTCTGTGCTCAGGGTCACTCTTGGCTCTGTGCTCAGGGTCACTCCCGGCTCTGTGCTCAGGGCTGACTCCTGGCGATGCTTGGAGGGACCCTGTGTGTGCTGGGGGCATCGAACTGAGACGGGCCACATATAAGGCAAGCACTGTCTCTCCCGTCCAAGATTTCTTCTCTTTGGGCATTTCTTTCTTTCTTTTTTTTACTGTGGTAAAATACCTCTAAAATTAAAACCCTGTCTTAATTTTCCTGAAGTACCTATAATACTCAGCGGCATTAGTCCAGTCACAGTGTTCTCCACAGCTTTGCCCGTTGTCCATCTCCAGAAGAGTTCCATCTTCCCAACTGAACCCCTCTCTCCTGCCCCCCACCCCGAGTCCCTGTCCAGTCTCCCTGCGTCCGCCTGTCCTCGGTCATCCAGTGCCTGGGTTTGTGCGCTGCTGGGCCTTTGACACTTGGTTTTCATCACAGCACCCAGTGCCCTCCCCTGAGAGGCAGGGGCCCGAGCATAGTCGGGGTCCGGGTGCCCTGTGGCGGCGTCCCCCCCTTGGCCATCCTCGCTCACTGGCATCCAGCTGTGGGTCACTGTGAACGCGCCACCATGACCATGGAGAACAAATATCCGTCTCAGTCCCTACTTGCAACTCTTTGGGGTATAGACTCCGGAGTGGAATTCCTGGGTCATGTGACCACAGCGTCTATGTTTAACTTCTTGAAGGAGTGCCAGACTGTTCTCCAAGATTCCTTTTAGTTGAAAAAAAAAATAAGATAAAATAAAAAAAGGAGAGGGAGAAAAAAGTGCTTCCATGTCCAGTGTGGGTGGAACAACAAAACCAAAGGAAACCTTCGACCCTTAAAAATAAAAAAAAGAAAAAGAGGGACCTCGGTAAAACAGGCATCCCCCTGTTTTAGACCTTAGACGACAGGCCCGATCGGGCCAGGAGCAGAAAGAGCGTCACCCCCCAGACCCGCGTCCAGGGTGCCAAGTGGGAGATGGGAGAGAAACGTCTGGGAACAGCTGTTGAGCAGAGCCGGGGAGAAGAGAGACTCAGAGAGACCCCAGGGAAGGAGAAACGCAGAGCGTCGGCCTGGGCGCACCCCAGAGCCCGTGGGAAACGAGGGTGTGCGCCCAAGAGGGAACTGCACCCGCCGGAGCACACAGGGCAGGGATACGGGGACCTGAATCTTGTCACTGCCTCCTGCCCGGGAGCCGTCCCGGCCGGCCGTACTAGGGCAGCCTCGGCGTGAGCTCCAGCGGCGGGAACGGGCCGTGCTCTCAGCCATCCCTGGAGTAAAGGCCGCGCGAGACTCCTCCGGACCACGCCGAGAGGGACGCTTAAAAAAGGATCTGCCGGGGGATGCAAATAGTTCGGCCTGCTCCCAGCACGGAGCTGCCTGTGCCCCAGAGGGAGGCCGTCACGTCCAGACGCAAGAACGTCCCGTTCTGAGTGTCCAGCTCTTGACTCGAACTAAGGGGGCACGTCCAGAAGCCAAAAGAGTGACCCGTCGCGGAGAGGGAGGGGGGAAAGCCACCAGTGAAAAGGAAGGGCAAAGTGACAGCGCTGCTGGGAGGGCACCAGGACAGTGAGGTGGCCGTTAGGGTTGTGTTTGTCTCTTACGGATATACCTGCACTGCACTGCACGGTCTTCCTGTTGTTCATCGATTTACTCGAGTGGGCCCAGTAACGTCTCCATTGGAGACTTTGTTGTTACTGTGTCTGGCAGATCGAATACATCACGGGGAGCTTGCCAGGCTTTGCCGTGCGGGCGAGATACTCTCAGTAGCTTGCCGGGCTCTCCGAGAGGGACGGAGGAATCGAACCCGGGTCTGCCCGGCTGACCGCATGCAAGGCAAACGCCCTAACTGCTGTGCTAGCGCTCTGGCCCCAAGTATATACCTATAGATATATTTTTAAATTGAGATTTTTATATAGATATATAAATATATAAATCATAGAGAGAGATATGAATTTATAATACTGAGATTATATGTATTTAGATATTTTTGTATCTATGGAGCGTTTGCCTTGCAAGCGGCCAACATGGCCGACCCGAGTTCAATTCCTCCGCCCCTCTTGGAGAGCCCGGCAAGCTACTGAGAGTATCTCGCCCGCACGGCAAAGCCTGGCAAACTCCCTGTGACGTATTCGATCTGCCAAACACAGTAACAACAAGTCTCATGATGGAGACATCACTGGGCCCACTCGAGCAAATCGATGAACAATGGGAGGACAGTGACAGTGATTTTCTCCTCTCAATATATATTTATATATTGAGGGCAGGGCTGGAGCGATAGCACAGCGGGTAGGGCGTTTGCCTTGCACGTGGCCGACCTGGGTTCGATTCCTCCATCCCTCTTGGAGAGCCCAGCAAGCTACCAAGAGTATCCTGCCTGCATGGCTGAGCCTGGCAAGCTCCCCATGACGTATTCGATATGCCAAACACAGTAACCACAAGTCTCCCAATAGAGACATTATTGGTACCCGCCCAAGCAAATCGATAAACAACAGGAGGACAGTGCTACAGCGCTATATCGAGGGTGATAATAGATATTTTAAGACAAGCCAGATGACTGCTCTAGTGGTGGGGTAATATATAATATAGAAACATTTTACT